AACTGCGTCCCAGTCATGCTCCCCCAGGGAAGCTTCCCATCCCGCGAGCACCAGCGAAGCCGGCGGTCGATGGCGCCAGTTGCGTGCAAGCCTCGCCCGTCCTCCCTCTCGACGGTCCTGCGCTCGGTCCGATGCCCTGGGCCAGCCGCATCTGGGCCTCTAGCTCTGCCCGCTCTACCCTCCCTCGCCTCCCCCCCGCCCCGCCACCCCCCTCCCCCGCGCGACCCCATCGGCTCACCTCTGGCGCCGGGGCGGGCCCCGCCGCCTCGCCGCCGCCGGCCCCCTCCGCCCCGCCCCGCGCCACCCTGCGGCCCGCCAAATCCAGCAGCGCAGCGTGCACGTCGCGCGCCTGCGCCGCGTCCCCCGCCGGTGCGGCCGCGTTTTCCTCCAGCACTCGGGCCAGGGCACGCAGCGCCGCGGCGTGGTAGGCGGCCCGCGGCCTCTCGGCGGCGGCGAGCAGCGCCGCGACTGCCGTGGCCCAGACGTCGCCCCCCCCGCCGCCTGAGACGTCCAGCGTCGCGGCGCAGAGCAGCGGCGGCACGGCCCCCAGCAGGGCCTCCTTGCCGTCCCAGAGCCGGCCAGGTAGTTGCTGCGTGTGTGCGAGGGGAGAGGGTGGGCGCGAGGGTGGGCGCGAGGGTGGGGGCGAGGGTGGGGGCGAGGGTGGGGGCGAGGGTGGGGGCGGGGTTGGGGTGGGGGGCAGGTGGGGGGTCAGAAGGTCCTGGAGCGAGGAGTCCTCCCGCCCCTGCCATGCCACGACTCGCCGAATATGGACCCTCTCCAGCCGCCTCCATGCTTTCTTGGTCCCGATCCCACCCGCCTGGCCCCCCCTCTCCCCCCTTCCCCCTGCCGCATCCACCTGGCAGGCCTCCACTGCCAACCCCCAGCACACCCACCCCACCCGCTCACCTCCAGCAGGGCCGCCAGCGCGACCCCGGCGTGGGGTGCCACCGCCTCCGGCGCCGCGGCGGCCGCGGCGGCCAGCGCGGCGGCGCCCGCACGCTTGGCGCCCCAGCTCGCGCCCGCCAGCGCGGCATCAGCCTCCCGGCAGATCTCCGCGGCCAGCAGGCGCACGCCGCTACCCACCGAGGCGGTGCTCTCCTCCCACACCCGCTCCCAGACTGCCGCCGCCTCGGCTTCGCCGGAGAACTGCACGCAGGAGTTATGTTTTGATGTGGTGGGAGGGGTCTTGGCGCGACAGCTACCCGCCCACGGTGCGGCTCAGGAGGGGCCAGATCCTGCCAGACCTCAGCGCGCCCTACTCGTGGCTCCAGAGACACAGGAGCGGTGGCCGCGGCATGCCAGCGGCCCTAGCCCGGGCAGAATTCCCCCCTTTCCACCCCTCCAGTACAGACCACCCATCCCAAATCCCGACCTTGAGCAGGTAGGCCAGGGGGGCAACGTCGGCCATGACCCCGGCCACCTTCTCCTGGGCCTCCGACGCGAAGCGCAGGAGCACCTGGCCCGCCGCCAGCACGCGCCCGTCCTCGCCGCGCGCGGCGTCCAGCAGCACCGCCAGCGCGCGCTGCGTGCGCTGGGGCCCGGCGCCGTGCCGCGCCAGCGCGGCGGCCGCTGAGGCCAGGCCGCGACGCACCTCGGCGCTGGGCTCGGCCAGGGCCGCAGCCACCAGCGGGCCTAGCAGGGGCGCCACCGCCGGGGCGCAGCCGCCACCCAGGCGGCGCGCGGTCCGCGCGATGAAGGCGCCGGCGCCCGCGCGCGTCGCCACGCCCACCCCCCGCCTCACCACCGACGCCAGGCCCGGCGCCAGCGCGGCCAGCGAGGCCTCGTCCAGCACCCTGTGCGTGAGTGGTTTTGAGGGCGACGGGGTGGTTTGAGATGCGCGTGCTCGGACCGAGGAGGGGCCAGCAGATGTTTGGGGGCTGAGCCTGCAGGTAGGCGTGTCGGTCCCCCCAGATCCCTTCCCAGCTGGGCCACCCAGCAGCGCGGTGCCCCCGCCCCCGCCCAGGGCCCCTCATCCAGCTCGAATGATGGGTTCCCGCCCACCCCCTCCCACACACCCTGGCCCACTCGCCTGGAGCACGCGTCGAGCGTGTCTCCGACGGGCCCGGACTGGGCGGCCGAGGCCCGCGCGCCGTCCAGCCGGTCTGTGTCCAGGCCCAGGCCGGCGGCGTGCTGCTCCACAAAGTTGAGCCGCGAGTCCTCCAGCCCACTGGCAGGGGCGGAGTGAGGGTCGAAGTGGGGGTGCTGGGAGGGTGTCTGAACCTCGGCCTGGGTGCGCACCCATCGCGCGAGTTCCCCGCCGCCAGCCCCCCCCCGGCCCCGGCGCTGGGCGCGAGGGGCGCTCCAGTCGGAACATGCACCGACAGCGGCGGCACGCGGCCTGGCAGGCACGCGTCCGCCGCACGCCGCCTCGCAGGCCCACAGCCCTTTCCCGCCGACCTTGCGCACCTGAGGGCCTCCAGCAGGGGAGGCACCAAGGTGGCGACGTGCTGCCGCAGCAGGGCCGGGGGCGCCTGGCGGCAGACGGTGGTCAGGCACTCCAGGCACACCGCCCGCACCTCGGCGGCAGAGGATGCCAGACCTGTGGGTGTGTATTCTTGGGTGGGCAGGGGTGGCAGGAGGGGTTTTGGTGCAAGGGGTTGAGCTCTGCTCCGGGGCTGCCTCGGCCTTGCCTCGTGGGTGGGGGGATTGTCGAGTGCAGAGGGGGGGGGGAGGCGAGCACAGGCTTGGCCCAGCCGCCACGCAACCGCGCTCCTCCCACTCAAACAGCACGAACCCTGGCTCGTCAACCCCCACCACCTTGCAGGAGGATGGGGAGCAGGACGGCGGCGACAGCGGCGCCCTGGGTCAAATCCGCGCCGCCCTCCGTGCCCGTAGCGCGCAGCGCGAAGCCGCGCAGCGTCCTCACCAGGGCCAACCCAGCGGCCCTCACGCTTTCCTTCACGTCATCCAGCACCCTGATCAGAGGGAAGAGGGAGCTGGTGGTTGCGGGCAAGGGGGGTGGGGGGGGGGACCCGTGACGACGACGCAGTGCGGCGCAGCGCTCAACACCCAGTGGGGATGTTACACCTTAGGCGCACGAGACGGCACCACTGCCAGCTCGCGCGGCCTTGTTTCCCCATGTGCCGCAGGGACGCTGTGCAGATGCCAAGTGCCTCACGCCCGCCGGCTTGCTGTCGTCACAGGCGCCCTCGGACCCCCCTCTGCCTGCGCAGCCTAGGCATGCGGGATCCTGGCCTCCTCCCACGCGAGCGTGCCCCCACGGCCCCGCCTACCTCAAGCCCATGTTCCAGAGCGGCTGGTAGCGCGGCGCCAGGTCCCCCCAGCCCCTGCCGCGCGCCAGCTCGGCAGCGGCCAGGGCGGCCGACTCGCGTACGCGCCAGGCTGGCTGCCCCATGTCCGCCAGCAGGGCGTCCAGCAGGGGGCCCAGCTGCGCGTCCAGAAGCGCCGCCCCGTCATCCACCAGCAGGAGCCAGACGCGGGACATGGCGGCCTGGACTTTGGGGTTGGGGTCGAAGCGGTGGCGGAACAGGCGGGGCAGGATGCGAGGCAGGCTGGCGTTCAAAGACGCCTGGGTCACCGTCGGCGTGGGCCTGCAGGGGGGTGAGCATGGGGCGTCCTGGACGGAGCGAGGCGGGGTGAGGGGCGGGGAGATGGGCGCGTATGCGTGTGCATGCTCCGGTGTGCTGGTGGGCACCACGTGGGGCGGCTGCGGACTGGGCCGGGCCCGCCGTGCGTGTCCAGTGGTCTGTGAAGAGTGGGATCAGCGGCGCGCAAGCCGCCCGTGAGGCATGCACCCAAGCGTGGAAGCCGCCGCACCTGCCGGGGCCGCTCGTCGTGGCACTGGTCTGCAGGGCCAGCTCCATGAAGTGATACTGCGGCGGGGGGTGAGAGGTGGGAAACAGCCGTGGGCGTGCCCCGTCGAGTGAGAGCGGCGGGGCATGCAGCCCTGCGATTCTGCTGTCCTGAACGCCTTTGGCGCCACACCCTTCAGGCAATCCCACCGCCGACCTCGCCGGCGCCCTGGGCCCTGCCACATCGCTCCCTCCCTTTCCATACCCCCCCCCCAAAAAAACCATATAATTCAGGGGCACACACCAGAAGCTCCGGCTCGGACAGGGCGGCCGCCATGCTGGCCAGCTCGCGGTAAACCAGCAAGGCCCCTGACTTCGTGCCTGCCCCGCCGGCACCCCCCGCCACAGCCGTCCCCGTGCCGTTGGCGGCGTCCGTCGCGCCAGACAGGCTGGCCGCGGGGCGCTTGTGCGTGTTGCCTGTCGTACGGCGGGTGAAGATGCTGGGTCAGAGGAGAACAGGCGACCGCGGCTGCTGTAAGACATCTAGGTCAGCTAGCCAACGAGGCTGTGCCAAGGACACCTCCCCAAGTGATCACCCGACAGTGCCACGATGAGTCGCTTGACCAGCTCCTCCCGCGTCGCCCCGCTGGCCAGACCATGCGTCTCGATCAGGCCCCGGCTCGCCAGCTCCTGGACGAGCTCCGAGTCCTCCCCCAACATCTGCACGCAGAGGGGGGTGTCCTTGAGAGGTTTTGGAGGGGGCCAGGACGCGCGTCCTGCCCTCAAACCGGGCATGACCTTTGTCCAGTGCACGCCCTCCCCCAGGGTCTTCCCAGACCCCATATGCGCCCCTGCCCCTCCTGTCCAAGCCAGAAAATCTCGTCCCCCGCACCCCCCCACAAACACACAAGGTCCCCCCTCCCCTGCCCTCAGGCTTCCCGATTCCCTCCCCTTGCACCTCCTTCCCAACACGCACCGGGATGAGGGCTTCCTGGATGGCAGACAGGCGCGCCAGGATCAATGGGGAGGGGCCCACGTGCTGCAGCAGCGCGGTCAGCCAGGCCGCGCCCGCGGCGCGCTGCTCGGCCTTGGCACTGTCCGGGAAGCGGCCGACCACCGCCTCCAGGATCTTGGCCTGCACGGCCTGGCGCTCGGTTGATACTGGAGCAGCACCGCCGGGCGTGCCGCCCCTGGGGCCATCCAGGCTCGCCAGGCCGAGGTACTCTATGTCCAGCAGGTGATGCAGCTGGAGACGCGTGCCTGTGTTTTGTGGGTGCGTTGCAGTTTAGTGGTTGTGTGGGGGTGAAGTTTGCACTGTGTGCTGATGCAATCATCACAGTGAGGAGATGGGAGCATGCGCGGCGGGGACGCGGATGCCTGCTCCTTTGACTCAGGACGTCGCCATGCCATGATGTTAGGGTATCCGTCTCATTTGAAGCCAGCTGAGACCCCCTCTCCCAGCCTTGCACGCGCTCTGCGCCCGGCCCACCTCCAAACACGAGGCACAGGGCCTCCCCCGTGGGGAAGAGCAGCGCCTCGCCGCGGCGGCCATGCAGCCCGAGCAGCGCCTCGGCCACGCTTTCCAGAATGCCGGCCTCGGGCACGGCCCAGGCCAGCGTGCCAAGCGCGCCCACGGCACCCTGCTGCACCTGCGGGAGGAAAGCGGGGGCAGCTCGGAGCCTTCAGCATGCTGGGATTGACAGAGGGGGAATGGGATGGCATGGCCGATGGGTCAGGCTGAGAGGATCGGACTTTGATGCATTGCAGCCACCCTCATTCCCGCCCGAGGACAACAAACGCAACCTCCAGGGCCTCCACTTGCAATTTGGGAGCAGCTGGGCTCCAGCAGGGGCACGATAGCTGCGACGACCTCGCTCCAGTCGATGCCGGCGAGGGGGGTTTGTTCGCCCGCCACACCACCCCCGGCCTCCCGCGCAGCCGCGGCCAGGAAGGCCAGGGACTGCGCCGCGGTCAGGCGGACCTCGGGGTCTACAACGCCAGTCGTCACGCAGCTTGCGAGGGCGGCCACCCAACCTTCTGGAGGTGGTTCTTGTCCTGTGCACAGATGGCCAGGGGTTTAGGAGCGGGATTGTTAGCTCTGGTGGCGTGTCATCCTCGAGCGGACACGGGGCAAAACCCCGATCCCTTGCCGCCTCTTCATCGCCCAGCGACAACCCCCCGGCGCGCACGGCCCCCCCGCGCTCCCCCCACCAAGTGCGCTCACCCTCGAGCACGCCTCGCGCGGCCACCAGCCCCAGCGCGGCCGCGGCGCCCAGCGCCTCCTCCACGCCCACGCGCTTGCCGGCCGCGGCCTGCTCCAAGCAGCGCCGCCACGCGTCCCGAACAGACCCCGGCAGCGCAGCGTGCAGGCGACCGGCGACGCGCGCCGCCAGGCCGCGCACGGGCGCGTTGGCATGCGCGGTCAGCGCGGCGGCGCGGGGGCCCAGGGCGGTGGCGGTGGCCTCGTCCACCGCCGGCCGCCGTCCCACGGCCCCTGCGCCTAGCGCGCCCAGCAGGGCGCGGAGGGCGCCGGCCTGCAGGGCAGTGGGGGCGTTGGGGCCCAGGCCGGGGGCCAGCAGGGCGGCGTAGGAGGCAAGGGCGGCGGGCGGGAGGGCGGCCTCCATGCGCTCGATCTCCGATCTCCGCAACCGCTCCAGGAAACGCACGGCCGCCGCCAGGGACTTTGGAGGAGGGGTGGGGAGGCGGCTGCGAGGGGGATGGGTTACTGTGAGGGTGGGAATGCCGATGCACGCCGCCCTGCACCAGATGCCAGGCGCCGGGCGGGTGGGGAGCCTGGTGCAGGCCCACTGTCCCCGCAAGCTTCATACTCGCTACCCCCACCCTCTGCACTCGATACTGGACCCCCTCCCAGCGCTTGCCACCCCGATCATTCTGTGGCGGCCCATTGCGGCATCCTTCTAGGACCCCCAGGCCCCCATCCCCCCCGAAACACACCTTGAGGGAGAGGCCCGAGTCGGCGCCGACGGCGCCGACCCGCCCCAGGGCGGGGTGGTGGCGCAGCAGGCAGCCCAGCATGTCCAGGAAGCGCGGCAGCCCGCGCTCCTCCCGCGTCCCCGGCACGGGGGTCAGCGAGTCCACCGCGGCCGCCGCCACGGCCCCCCGCACATCCCCCGCTGCGACGACGGCCAGGTAGCGCGCCTCCACGTCCTCCCCCGGGAACACCTTGGCCGCCCACTGCAGCGCGGTGGCGCGCGCCGCCTCCTGCGGCGAGCGGATGTGCGCCGCCAGCACGGCCAACACCTGCGCCCGCGCCCCGGCGTCCGCTTGCGCCCCGGCGAAGGCCTGCGAAGCACCCGCCAGCGTCTCCTGCAGCAGCGCGCGCGTGCCCGCAGGCTCGCGGGCCAGCGCCTCGAACAGCGCAGCTGCGACGTCCACGCGCCCCGCCAGGCAGGCCGGCACACGCTGCGCAAGCGTGCCCACCGCGCGCAGGGCCGCGCCGCGCGTGCCCGCGTCGGCGGCGCCGGCCGTCTCCCCAGCCCCGTCCAGGACCAGCGCCAGACAGGCCGCCAGGGCTGGGTCCGCGGCGGGGGCCAGGTCGGCCAGGGCTGCGTGGCAGAAGACCCAGGCCGCAAACTCAGCGCCTGCGGTGCGCAGCCGGCGCTGCGGCGAGGCCAGCGCTACGCGGACCAGGGCCAGCGCGCGTGGCACGTCGGCCGCGGCCGCCGCGCTGCGCGTCAGCAGGCCCAGCGCGCGCAGCAGCGCGGCGGGCGGGGCGGGCGGCACAGGGTGCAGCAGGCTCTGGAGGGGGTGGGATGTCGCGGCGGCGCCCGCCGCCGACGCCCCGGCGGCGCTTGCGAGCGACGGCGCGTCTGGCCCCGGCGCCGCCGCCGCAGCGCCCTCGACAGGCTCCGTCCCCAGCCCGGACTCCATCAGCACCTTGACGACACCCTCCTCCTCCACAACAGCCGACAGGTCGCCCAGCGTGCGCAGCGTGGCCTGGCCCCGCTCCGCCACCGCGTCGTCCGGCTCTGCGCAGGCCAGCGTGCAGGGCAGGAGCAAGTCGCGCGGGTCGCGGCACCAGGCCGCGCAGGCGCCCAGCGAGCCGCGCTTGGCGGCGGCCAGCGCGCCCGGCCCGGCGGTCAGCGCCTCGGCGCCGTTCAGCAGCGCGGCCAGCGCGGCAGAGGTGCCGGGGACGGACCGGGCCGGGTCGGCGGGTGCGGCGCTGGCGGGGGGCGGCTGGTACGTCAGCAGCTGGCAGGCAAAGGAGAGGAAGAAGGCGCGGTCGGAGGCGTCGGCCAGGACCGGGGGCGGGCCTTCCTCTCCGCCAGGGCTCGCGTACCTCTGTTGTGACGAGCAGAAGGAGAATGTAATGGCAAGGGGTATGGGTGCAGACTTTCCGATTGTGTAGGCAGCAATCTTCTTGCCCATGCCTGAGGAGGCATGAGCATGATCCGAGTCATGCCCTGCACGCAGCCGGACAGTGCAGCCACCTCGAGATCACCTTGTCAAAGTGTGGGAGCCCCCAGAGGATCAGTTTCAGAAACATGCTCTGGTGCGCCTCCTGTCTGCGAGCCAGCCCTGGGATCAGGGTCTCCAGCTGCGGGCAGGGTGGAGGGGGCAAAGTACATTGTTGGCCATCCATCCCAGTATCAGCTGGTGAACCATACACAATGGCAAACCCGCTGTGAATGGGGTTGTCACTCCTGCGACAGCCACCCAGACATTGCGCGCGGTGCACCATTTACTGCACACGGATGCACAGCCATCGCAAGGTACACCCACGTGTGTTGTGCCCGAGCAGCCCGGGCCCATGCCCTTCCACCAGACCTGCGCCCCCCCCCACTCACCACGTCCGCGACGTCGGCCGGGGTCGCCCGGGCACCCGCCCTCTCCAGGTACACTGCTGCAAAGTTGCGGGACATGGGGCCCGCGGTGGGGGATGTGTACACCCCCGCCAGCTCAGCGAGTGGCAGGCGCAGCGTGGGGAGGGGCTGGATGCGCTGTGGACGTGCAGGGCAGGGGTCGGGTGGAGGCTGGGGTTGCCAACGCGAGGGCAGCCTCGTGGAGCGCTTTGCATGTGACCAAGAGATCCTAAAGTGAGCGACGGGCTGACCCCTGGGCATCCCCCCAACCAGGGCCGATCATGCATGGCAGTGCTCCAAGCGAACTTGCGCCACCACCCCTGCCTGCCTTGTTGACATGTGAGAGGATGGCAAGCACCCGCTTCTGTACGGTGGGATCTCCCAAGGAGAGCTTTTTGATCACGACGGGAAGCAACCTGACGAGGAGCTGCAGGAATGGGTGCAGGAAGAGGTGCTACTCGTTGAGGATGTGGTGGGACCACCCCAGCAAACTTTACATGCGCGCGGGCACAGGGCCTATTGATTGGGGATGTGGAATAGACTGAGTCTGCTGCATCCATCCAGCGCCGCATGCGCCCTGCCCTGCTCTCCTCTCACCTTCTCGAGGGCCTCGTCCGGGGTGGAGGCCAGTCGTGTCAAGACGACTGTCAGTGCCTCCGCCTCCTGCCCAACGTCCGCCATGATTCTCGATGGAATTCCTTAGGGCGATTATGGGCTGGAGCGGCCTCAGATCGGACGTGATCATGCCTCTCACTGGCCCTGTCGACTGTGGCTCCGTCAGTCCGGACCGCGAGATCCTCACGGAGCGCCCCCGAGCACACCGCCCCATTCCTATCAGGTGCCCCTCACCGTCACAGCAATGCGCGCCATGGACCTGATCGACTGCCCCCTAGTGATCATATGCCTTTATTGTTCAACGAATTCATCAAGGGCAGCGTGTCAACGGCTCAAGGGGCCGCGCCGGTCATGCTGCAGTCAGGGCGGGCCGGGGCGGGGCCAGCCAAGGTAGGAGCAGTGGGGCGTGTGTGTCAAAGCATCCGGGACCTTCAGGCCCGCTTGGGCTTGCTGGGTACCAGGTCTTCCCGTCCCAGGGAGCCAAAGGTGGAGAAGAGGAGGAGGGCCGCGATGGCAAGGACGCAGGCCGTGGCGCCGCCATAAAAGCAGCCGACGTTTCCCATGCCGCGCTGGGTGCTGATGTCGGCGAGCCGCCCCGCCAGCGAGTTGCTGTAGGCCAGCACCACGCCTGGGTGTGGGGATGGGTGGGTGGGAGATGTGGCTGGGTCAGCCAGGGGTCGGGGCTGAGCTGCCCAGCTCGGGCTGCAGTGAGGGAGGCCCCACCTGGGGTGGCTCCCTGGGGGCCCTCCAGCCGCTGCCCCCAAACTGCATGCCCCATTCCCCCTGGCTTCCAAAGGCCCCTTCATTCCCTTTCAGCAGCACCTCCCATCGCCCCCCCCCCCGCCCCTTAGTCTCCCCCTCCATACCACACCCACCCAGGAGCATGTCGGTGAAGGACCAGGCCGTCCCCGCCACCTTGCCCAGCCCCGGGATGGTGGCCGAGGGGATGTAGGTGGACAGCATGCCGATGGTGACGCCGTGGGTCATGGCCATGTGCACGCCGATGAGCAGCGCGCCCAGCATCATGCCCGGCGTGGAGGGGAGGAGCGCGAAGGCCGCGTTGGCCCCGATGAGAGCAAAGATGCCCAGCACAACCACGGCGTTGCGCGCGGCGACGGAGCGCTTGGCGCGCAGGCCGGCGGGCGTGGCCAGCGCGGCCTGGGTCACCATCATGATGGAGGTGAGGGCCGGCAGCGAGGCGCGGTCCATGACCGTTTTGGCGCGGAGCGTGACGAAACTGGCATCGAAGCGCGCAAAGTAGAGGATGCCCACTACGGCCAGCGCCTGCCAGTAGGCGGGCTGGAAGGCACCCAGCAGCGCGCGTGCCTTGCCCACCAGGCCCAGGCGCGGGCCGTCACCGGCGGAGGCTGCGGCGGTCGCATCCGCGCGTGGCCCAGCGGCGTCGCGCGCCGGTCCCACCACCACGCCGCGGAAGGCGGCGGACACCAGGACCAGGGCCAGGGTGGCGGGCAGTGCGGCCAGCGCAAAGGTGGCCACGTAGTTTTGCCCGCTCAGCTTGTAGGCGGCGGCGGCGGAGGCGGCGCCCACCAGCGCGCCAAATGTGGCCATGGACTGGCGCAGGGAGAAGGCGGCGGCGGGGGAGTCGCCCGAGGCGGCGGCCAGCTCGCCGATGAGGGCCTTGCTGGGCGCCTCGCGGATGCCCTTGCTCACGCGGTCGAAGATCTTGCCAAAGGTGATCCAGTAGAGGCAGGCCGAGGCGCCGAAGCCGGCGTACACCGCGCCCGAGGCCGCAAACATGGGCTTGTTGATGGTGGTCAGCAGCGTGCCGAAGATGACCATGCGCGCGGGGGTGAGCAGGTCGGCGGCCGTGCCGGAGACGCTGCCGGAGGCCTTGGACAGGAACTGGGC